AGGTCAAACTTTGTTATATTTTTATTTTCCATCCATCTATAATTCCATTTCCCACACCTTATCCAAGCTTGGACTATGGGTAACTGTCATCCCACTCTCCAGCTCCTCCTGGGGCATCCCAAGGTGTTCAGACAAGAGCAGGGGCGCCTCCAGAAAATTTTGATAGGGGTTGCCAGATGGGGCCAAAGACATTTTTGGGGTGACACACCAAATTGATCCTTGTGGTAACTCTTGGAGAATGTAGCCTGTGGCGATGTGCTGCATTGCCTCTTTATTCCTTTTTATTAAAATAACATTACGTATCCAAAACATTTAACTTAAATTTTATTAAAATTTTAATTTGTTTAGGTTTATTCACCTGTGTTGCTGTGTTCATGAAAAAAAAACTATGGAGATAAAAACCTTTTTAACATGGTTAGCAGCAGAAACATATGTATATTTTTTTATTCTGATTATTTCTTTACTCATTAATTGTAAAATTTTTATTTTGTTATGCAATTATGTGTTGAATAAACAAGATTAATATATGGTTTGACTGAACATTAATATGATTTGTTAACACTGGCTTTTCCTGGGGGGCGGGGGGGGGGGGGGGGAGCAATTTTCTAGGGGTGGCCATGGCCACCCCTGGCCACCCCTTGGGGGCGCCCTTGGACAAGAGAAGTTAAAGAGCATCTTTAATGTTCTTTAAAATGGTAGAAAAACATCGTCATAGGTCAAGAAGTAACTTTGGTGATATTTCCAGGTTTTCAGGTAACTAGCAGGTGCTTAAAAATACTAAATCAAGGGACCTGGGCAAACTTCCCCAAAAAACGCGAGGTTTTGGGGTCATGTGACTCTATGTGAGTTCTACAAGCATCTGAACTCATGTGAGTTCTAGAAGCATTTGAACACAGATATGCAAATGGGAGTGCCGCTCAATGGGTTACCAAGAATAAAGAGAACCGAGCACATCACTCCTGTTCTTAAATCTCTACACTGGTTACCAGTAAACTACAGAATTGATTTCAACGTACTTTTACTAGTTTATAAATCACTCAACGACATGGGGCCAGAATACATGCTGGATCTCCATCCTGTATACATGCCCAGCAGGGCTCTGAGATCCTTAAGAAACACTCAGCTGGTAGTAGCCCCGGGTCACAGCCAAGCAGGGTGGAGCTGGTTTTAGCAGCTATGCTGCACACAGAGTGAATCGGCTTCCTCGTGATCTCAAATGTGCCCCAACTCTAGTAACTTTAAATCAAAACTGAAAACCTTCACACGCTCATCAACTTTACAATGGCTGTTCTGCACTGTAACTGCTCACCAATGTAATTTGTGTGTAGTTTCTGTCTTATTGATTTTTAATATTCTAGCTATTCTTGCTAATTGGAAAGCACATTGAATTGCCATTGTGTGTGAAATGTGCTTTCTAAAAAAGCTGCCTTGCCACATAATCTGTTTTCAATCGTACGCCGGTTGTTAAAACCGTAGACCGCACAAAAACAGGCATTGTTGCTCACTCAGTGTTGATTCTGATTAGGTTTTGGAGCGTGAGGGACCCATCCAAAACCAAATCCAGTGTTTACACTCCAGCGCTCAATGTCGCCACTACGGATTTAGTTTTCGTTTCATCTCGTTCCCGAATCTTGTGGCCACTAGCTGTTTGTTTCATAAAAATAGTACATATGTACCGATTTCAAAAGTTCACTTTCTTCCTACCTAAAGTAGACCTTTTTTCTTCTGATCGCTGTTTGACTGTGGGACTACTATCTTTTAAGCGTAAGTAGTAAAGCGGCACTCATGTGATCGTTTTAGACCAATGCCGTGCTCGCATTTAGTAAACAAGAAACATAGCGTGTGTTCAGAGCTGGAAAATAGCAGCGATTATGATTTAATTACCTTTAAAACTCATAAATTAGAGAACAAAAAAGATTTTTTTATGGAAACGTGTTTAATGTAATATGTCGGGGGACAAGTTTCAGTCGAAATCTATTAGATTGAAAATGCTCTTACCAGTTAGTGTTTCCAAGTGTGCATTTTGAAGTTCCCACGCTTCAGCAGCTCGTCTTTCACCGTTTAAATTATTATCCCTGTTTAGCCTGTTCACATCAACTGGCTGGGTACTTTCAGCATGTAACATAACTGTATGTTCGGATTCAGAATCTGGAGCTCCGTGCTGCTGCTGTAAGTACTTTTTTTTCTGAGCAGAGTCGGGAACATTTTCCTTGAACGACATCACTTTTGGTTTCCAGCAAGAGGCGCAGACGGATGAGCTAGGAGAGCCTAGTTGGAACAGTAATGGCACCTTTAATTCTCAAATATTCTTCCTTTTTTAAATGAAAATATAAAGTTTTGACCTGTTACAATATAAGGGCTTCAACATGTGTTTGACTTGGAAGATGACATTTAAAATGAAGCAAAGAGCTAAAACCAGATTGAACATCGACGTGGCCTACCCTAGTCTGAGGGAGCTATGAAATCATGGACTGATAGTGACCTGGCTTTGTTGCTACAGGACTTGTAAGTAATAAAAAAAATTCCAACAGTGTAGATCTTTTTACTTTGTGGCTTATGTAGTATAAGTTCACTCGTGTTAGCGTTAGCTCATTGTCAGCACTAGCTACAGCAGGCTGCTGCAGGGTTGTTTATGACAGTTGTAATTCCACTTTCAACCAGTAGGGAAGAGGAGAAGATTCCTCATTAGTGTTGCATTAACCTGCTGTTTCAAACATACATAATGAGGCTAGGCAGATACCTACAAAAGCATTTGACAAACCATTAAGAACTGGATCGAGCTTCTGGATAAAATAAAGAAGTTGTGAAGATCAGGATGTAAAAAACCCAAAGCAGGAAACACCATCAGCTCTGCCCAAAACATTATTATACAGGTCCTTCTCAAAAATTAGCATATGGTGATGAAGTTCATTATTGTCTGTAATGTACTGATAAACATTAGACTTTCATATATATTAGATTCATTACACACAACTGAAGTAGTTCAAGCCTTTTATTGTTTCTAATATTGATGATTGTGGCGTACAGCTCATGAAAACCCAAAATTCCTATCTCAAATAATTAGCATGTTTCATCCGACCAATAAAAGAAAAGTGTTTTTAATATAAAAAAAGTCAACCTTCAAATAATTATGTTCAGTTATGCACTCAATACTTGGTCAGGAATCCTTTAGCAGAAGTGACTGCTTCAATGCGGCGTGGCATGGAGGCAATCAGCCTGTGGCACTGCTGAGGTGTTATGGAGACCCAGGATGCTTCGATAGCGGCCTTAAGCTCATCCAGAGTGTTGGGTCTTGCGTCTCTCAACTTTCTCTTCACAATATCCCACAGAGTCTCTACGGGGTTCAGGTCAGGAGAGTTGGCAGGCCACTTGAGCACAGTAATACCATGGTCAGTAAGCCATTTAGCAGTGGTTTTGGCACTGTGAGCAGGTGCCAGGTCGTGCTGAAAAATGAAATCTTCATCTCCATAAAGCTTTTCAGCAGATGGAAGCATGAAGTGCTCCAAAATCTCCTGATAGCTAGCTGCATTGACCCTGCCCTTGATAAAACACAGTGGACCAACACCAGCAGCTGACATGGCGCCCCAGACCATCACTGACTGTGGGTACTTGACACTGGACTTCAGGCATGTTGGCATTTCCCTCTGCCCAGTCTTCCTCCAGACTCTGGCACCTTGATTTCTGAATGACATGCAAAATTTGATTTCATCTGAAAAAAGTACTTTGGACCACTGAGCAACAGTCCAGTGCTGCTTCTCTGTAGCCCAGGTCAGGCGCTTCTGCCGCTGTTTCTGGTTCAAAAGTGGCTTGACCTGGGGAATGCGGCACCTGTAGCCCATTCCCTGCACACGCCTGTACACGGTGGCTCTGGATGTTTCTACTCCAGACTCAGTCCACTGCTTCCGCAGGTCCCCCAAGGTCTGGAATCGGTCCTTCTCCACAATCTTCCTCAGGGTCCGGTCACCTCTTCTCGTTGTGCAGCGTTTTCTGCCACACTTTTTCCTTCCCACAGACTTCCCACTGAGGTGCCTTGATACAGCACTCTGGGAACAGCCTATTCGTTCAGAAATGTCTTTCTGTGTCTTACCCTCTTGCTTGAGGGTGTCAATGATGGCCTTCTGGACAGCAGTCAGGTCGGCAGTCTTGCCCATGATTGCGGTTTTGAGTAATGAACCAGGCTGGGAGATTTTAAAGCCTCAGGAATCTTTTGCAGGTGTTTAGAGTTAATTAGTTGATTCAGATGATTAGGTTAATAGCTCGTTTAGAGAACCTTTTCATGATATGCTAATTATTTGAGATAGGTATTTTGGGTTTTTTCATGAGCTGTACGCCAAAATCATCAATATTAGAAACAATAAAAGGCTTGAACTACTTCAGTTGTGTGTAATGAATCTAATTTATATGAAAGTCTAATGTTTATCAGTACATTACAGACAATAATGAACTGTATCACAATATGCTAATTATTTTACAAGGACCTGTATTAGTGTTTGGGGATTCAGGGTGACAGATTTTATTAAAGAGCAAGTCACCCCCTACCAGAGTCTAACTCCACTCCCACCTCATGTTTGAAAAATGCAACACATGCTGTTGCCTGGCAGACCGAGAGGGCGGAGCCGCTAACAAATACACACACACTCAGGCTCACGACAGCATTGTGACATCATAATGTACCAGTTTACATCATAGCATACTTCTTAGCCAATAGCGGTGGCAGATTTAAATTAAAATGCAGTGCAGAGTTTTTACCTGACAACGGCACAACACTGCCAGTTTTGGGCAGAATATTTAAATTTTAACTAAGATGCACTGAAGTGCCAAATTATTGACAAAACGTGTCTGCAGCACGATTAGACACTCGTTTATTTAGTTTATCAGCAAAAAAAAATTTTTATTTGGGGGTGACTTGCTCTTTAAACTATACGTAGGGTTTATCAGAGTGGTTTTAGTTTTGTGTGAACAAAGCAGAAGTTAGTGTGAGAACAGCTCTAGCACTCTACCTTCCCATCAGCACCCAGGGTCTCATCCTGTTTGCTCTTCTCCAGGTCTGATGAGACACACTCAATGCTCTCCTCTGTGGTGCCTTCAAGGTCTGTCTCCTTCGACAACACCAACCTCTTCTTTGCTGCAGAGCCACAGGGAATTTTCACGCTGCTTTTATTTCAGAGTTTACGCCACATCTATGCAGTGACAGCTGCTGCCAAGAGCCCACACAACGGAGCCTGTTGATCAGTTTGTCTGGCTCATACGGCCCAATTCTCAGCTCGAATATGATAAAAGAAAACCTGGTGGAGGATATTAATGTCTAGCACTTTTGTGGGCTCCTGGACGGGTGTTTGTGTGACAGAACAGGAGCCTAAGGAGTCAGAGCTCTGCAGGAAATAAAGAACATGCATGATGGATGGGAGGAGACTAGATTTACACAAATGACTACATTGGTGTGAGTCACCTGGTGCGGCCTCCGGCTCCTCCAACTTCCCCTCTTCTCCGTCTTCCTGCTCATCACTTTTCTGCTGCAGGGTCAGCTGGTGACACACATCAAACGCCTGACCCACCGTCCGCACGATCCTCATGGCCTGAGACTAACGGGGAAGACGCGGACAGAGAGAGAGGAAGGGAGAGGGTTGTGAAACTTTGTGATCAGGTAGTGAGACAAAAATCAAAGAAAGCCATGAAACTTTCATCATTTTTCATAAATAACAACAACATGTTGTTATTTCAGACACACGGGCCACTGAACAGAAAAAAATGAAAAAGAAAAAGAATTCTGACTTGGGGGTGAGAATTGACTCTGGACTTAAGTTTGATGCTCAAATGAACTCGCGATACGGTCCTGTTTTTTCCATCTGGGACACCTTTCCAAAATCAAAAGGAAAAAAAAAACCCTGGTGGAGGATTTGGCCTGATCCCAAATACCCATGAAGTTGTTAGCTTTGATTTCAGAGTTTATCAAAGCTTCAGTGTTTGGTTTAACTTCAGCATTTTCATCATTTCTAGTTGGGTTTTATCTTGAAGAGACAACGTGTAGCGTTTACCATTCACCTCTGGGAACATCCTTCGGTATGTTGTTGAAAATGATGAAATGATGCCCGGTTGTTGAAAAATTCGGGCAGCTTCATAACATATAACCATAAAAATCAGGTCTAAAATACGTGGGAGCGGGTCTAAGTCTCTGGGCGGCGCCATATTAGATGCCATGTTTCCTTCTACAGGAGCCCATGAGGACAAAATGTATTTACTGATTTGAAACAAATGGTTACACTTTCATGAACGTTGTTGTTTTACACATTTACCTCTTCACTCGATGCCACTGATGAAAGGGAGTGTGAAGTGCTTGTACTTGTGCTGAAGTTTGCACTCCCCAGGGCTTTTTGACCCTAATGGGCATCCGTCGGTAAGGTCTTACTTAGCGATGGGTACCGAATTCGGTACTTTTTAAGGTACCGACCGAATTCCATAGTACCGACCGAGCACCGATTCAAGTCATTTGAAACGGTGCCTCGTTTCGGTACCCGTCCTTCATAACGAGAACTTGCCTAGACAGCTGTGCATGCGCAAGAGCGTTATGTCGTCGGTCGCTGCGAGCCAGTTGTAAACAGAGCAGCATGGTAGAAAGAACGCACGCTAAAGCTTGGGTCCATTTCACTAAATGTGATGGGTAACTGGGTGATGATGAAACCAGCGACAACGATCTAAGTGAGACATCCTCATCTTAATCTGCTCCGGTAGGTAAATAAAATGTTTAAGATAATGTTAGCTTGATATGTTAGCTTCCGTTCCGCTAATGGTGCGTTCGCTTTCTCCTTGGAACTCCAAAACTCCGACTAGAAGAACATGAACGCACTCTAAAGTTTGGCTTCACTTTACTAAATGCGATGGGTGATTGGGTGAAGATGAAACCAGCGACAACGATCTAAATGTGAGGCATCATCATTTTAATCTGCTCCAGCAGCTAAATAAACTGTTTAAGATAACGTTAGCTTGATAAATTAGCTTCCATAGCCACCATTGTTGTCAGCTAATGGTGCATTCGCTTTCTCCTTGGAATTCTAACTTCCCAGTAGGAAAAATCAAATGAAAAAGGACGGCAAAAGGAATGAAGATACACAGTAAATTTAGTTCACAGTAAAGATGTTTGCTTCAGTTTAATTATCAGCTTATAAAACTACAAGGACGATGTTAAAATACAAACAGTTGTATGTTATTTATCGTGATATTTATCAAATATGGTTATATATTGAGAAAAATATATATTTAATTATAAAAGAGAATTAAAATATTAAACACTCAAAGTATCAAAAATTGGTACCGTTAAGTACCGGTATCGATTCCTAGGTACCGGGAATTAGTACCGAATCGATTCAAATGTCAAAGGTACCCATCCCTAGTCTTACTCCAACACAAAAATACTGCTTGCTTGCAGTGATTTAGGAATCTACTGCCCCCTATCACCTGGAAAAATACACACTGTCACTTTAAGGATCTTGCTTTAAACTCTGGTCTGAAAAGGTGTTTGGTATGAATTCCTTTATGGAGCGTCCTCTCTGAGAGCGTAACGGTTTCAGCTGACCTCACCGACACCAAAACCACCTTCTGCCGTTCCACATCTGACTGAAGGTCTGATAGCTCCTACATCAAACGTGAGAAGTGTTACTGACACTCAGATCACTAACTGGAAGAGAAAGATTAAGGAACATTTCAATAGTCTGTGACCGTTGGGATGAAATTATGGAAATTAACCAAAGTAACGAGGAATCTGTCAGGGAGGCCTCTGGAACAATTTACTGTCAATTTAGAGATAAAGTAATGAATTAGGAGCCTGTTGTGTTCCTGCCATCACACATGGTCAACACATTCTCACACCCAAGGCGTCAAAATATGATGCGTATGACCAAGTCTCAATATATGATGAATCGGGATGCCCCAGCATGTCAGAATCATCGACAAATATATTGGACAATTCATTTCCATAGGCTCCAATAACACGTTTTTGAGGATAAAATGGGAGGTGGCCACCACCGCCATTTTGACCGTGTCACAGGTTCCGTCAAGCCCAGACAATTCCACAAAAGGGAAGAGAGGTGGAGCTGAGTGTTACTCCCCTCGAGTCTTAATAAAGCTCAACTTGTTCTTTGGTTTTACTGACATTTATTTCGGACAGGAGGATTCTTCGACATGTCTTAACATGTAATGATGTCCAACCAAAGCCGATACAATGCCGTCAGAACTAAAACGAAATACAAACTTAAATGAATATTCTTAATAAAGTCCTTAAGCATTACATGACGAACATGTCAACAAATCGATCAATAAAATACACGTTACACTTCACACTGCGGTAATTGCACTAGAATATCACGCAAATTTACACAATTTACATATACAACGATAATAAACAAAAGAAAACATTTACCTCATTGGCCTCACTCAAAGGGAATAAACTTTAATCCTTACGCCGTGAGATAGTCCGAAAAAGGCACTCTTTTATTTAACTTACTGCAGACGTGCAACCTCGTGGCTCGTCTCTTAATTGCTTGCTGAGTGTGCCAAGGAAAATGCCCCCTTAGCAACAACGGACGGAACTATAGAAAAGGTTCCCATCTAATTGCACAGTTAACACAAATGCCCATTTAAACATATACATCTAATGAACAGAACATGAATTACTATTGAAATATTATTTCTCAATCTTTCAACTACTAATTGTTTCAACATTAAATCCATTAAAATGAACTTAAATGCGAGAGTTGCCTTTGACGGCAGCTACACTGAGGGTGGGGCTGTAAGGCTGGGATCAACTGACGACACCCGGTTGAACTAGCTACAAGCTAACCTGAAGCTAACGCAAAGCTAAAGCAAAGCTAACGCGGAGGTGGGAGCTAAGCTAATGGAGGTAGCAACCTAGCTACAACCGGAGCTAACACCAGAGCTTCTGAGTCAGAGATACGCCGGGCTGACCGCTGGGTAAAACCGGGTGGGACACAGAGGTCTCCCCAGAGCTCCACAAGCCGGCAGCCGCACAGCAGACAGAAGCCGCGATCAGACAGAGATGCGCCGAGCTGCTGCTGGGGAGAACCGGGTGGAAAACATCGGTCTCCCGAGAGCTCCTCAAGCCGATAGTGGGAACCCAGCTCCACCAACATGTTATATTTCAACCCATTTTCTAAAGTGCAGCATTATGTTAAATGCACTGGGTTTTACCCTATTACATTTAAATTTCATGGTTAAACAGTACATGTTAAAATCTAAGCTCAGCTCGGCAGTGACCTAAAATACATAAATATAATTTTACTTACCAAAAAAAATGAAGTGGAGACTCCTTGGACGCTCTATTAGTGCAATTAATGCCACAGCAAGTCATTTTGCCCAACAATTGCACAAAAAATATCCAAAAAAGAATACACACACACAGAGACTCAAAATGCCGGAACAGTTTCCAAGCCAGACCGAGGCTCTACTGAGGCCTTTCCACGGAGCTAGCTCTGCGGTCACGTGGGTCTGGTGCTCATTAATTATACAGAATTTTAGGCTTTTAATACACTTAAACAGAAGAGTGAGAAAACAATTCACCCCCCTCAGAGTTGTCATGAGTGTAAACTAGATCATTTAAACCAAAAACATGTTTTGGTACCAGGCTGTAAACATGTTTATTTCTGCTGTGAAATTGGTATTTTTAACATGGGAGTCAATGAGGATTTGCTCGCTTCTGACACCAGCCCCTAGTGGATGAGGGTGGAACTGCAATTTTTGGTACTTCCGGGATTGCTTCAATGTTTTAGCCGCATGGTGGGGGCCTGGTCAGAATACGGCAATCAGGGACACACTGCTGACGTGGCGTCCCAGAGCGTCGGTATCTGACGCCGGTGGTGAGACGGACATTAGAACTACTTGTGAACTACTTAACCTTCCCCTCACCCCAATCCTAAACTCAAGGTCACAGTTTATGGACCTTAAGGTTAGGATTGGGGTGAGGGGAAGGTTAAATAATAATGTCCGTGTGAATGCGTGCATCAAACAGTGACGCCAGCGGAGCCACGTGACCCAGCGTGTCCCTGATCGTCATCTCCTGACGCACTGGGGCGTCCCAATTCGTCATATATTGAGGCTTTGACGCCTTGGGTGTGAGAATGTGTTGACATGGTGGTTTTATGAGCACAGGTATGAGGTTTCAGCAATGTTTCCTTCAGAAATTTCAAGCTCTCTTTTTGTCTAAAGCTCTAATTTATTCTCCCGCTTTGAGTCAGAGGGAAATAAAGGTTATCCAGCCTGTCCTTCCTCCGTCTCACTAAAGGTGATGTTTTCCACGCTGAGCATGGCAGGAGCCACGTCAATACAAATTCTTCACCACCTGCCTCTGGAGGACAATCGCGCCTTGAGGCTTTCACTCAGCGTGTCAAGGTAGCTCAGGCTTGAAAAAGATGTTTAAATGAATGCAGCAGAAATATAAAAGGTAGCAAAAATAGAGATGCGGTGGAGGAAATTGATTGTTTTGTTCCATCAGTAGAGAATAGAGAGAGGTTCATTTTGCTTTGAATTGTAGCGTCAAACTGACAGCCTGTCAGGACAAAAAGGCTCGGCCGAT